TGTGGTGGGGATGTCTGGGATGTACTGCTCGGGAGTGTAGTTGAGGCAGGAAACCTCATCACCTTTAAAATGCCCTCGGATGAGCGACATTCGAGACAATGGGCCTATTACGGGAGAGTGGGAGCAGCGGAGATAGGAGTAGACTCAATGGGCCGAAGAGTCTCTTCTGTGTTGTAATGCCTCTATGAATTTGATACGGGGAGGCGGGGCGGGGGGTGGTTCAGAGGGGAGATTTGTTACATAGTCCTAACCAGTTCTTCCTTACTTTGATCCAGGGACCTGTGGGAGAAAGTGACAAGTGCTCTCAAAGAAGAGCTGGAGGAGTGACCCTGAGGGAGCAACTGTCTGAGACTCACACCTTCTTCCCCCCAACCACCACGCCCCCTCCCACCACTCCCGACACCGCAGCTGATGCTTCACCCTGCAAAGACTGGCCATCTATAAGGACGTTTAACTCAAAACTATGCCAGGCACTTGGAAGCAGCGATGCCTCATGTGTAACTGCCTCATTCATATGTGAAGGAAAGAAATCAGAGTTAACGTTTCGGCTTCCCAAACCTCCCCAGCTCGGAGGAACGGTCACCGGGACCCAAAACGTTAACCGAATTTTTTTTTTCTTCGCAGGTACTGCCAGGCCTGCTGAGCTTTTCCAGCAACTTCTGTTTCTGTTCCTGATCTACAGCATTCTTTCGGTTTTTATTTTGTACCGTTCGCATGTTTACTTCAGGGAGATGCAGAGTTGACGCCATTTTCAAAGTGTACAACAGGCTTATTCACAGTCTTCTCGGGATATCTTAGCAACGTCAAAACGCTCTGGGCTACAGTTCTGCTTCGATCAGCTTCGAAACAGTCTGCTCCCTTAGCTCGGAGTCCTCACCCGGGGTTTATTCAGTCAAGGACAGGAACATGGATCAGTGATCAGATTCGGATGATCGCACAAAGTACACCCAAACGCGGCAGCCAGGCCAAAGATGTCCTCAGCCTTTGGCACAGGACAAAACATCTGCTTCCATCGCACAGCAAGAGGCCGTGATTAATCATGGCTCATGCATACTTTCTGGTGTCTCTTCATTTCCACAGAGTAAGCTGTGCCCACTGCTGAGGGGCCGTGAAATTGATATGCCTCACTCGGTCAGAAATCATCGATTGTAATTTCTGGGAGATGTGTCACTTTCCAACCAGACTCTGTGACACAGGAAAACCTTCGATGAAGCTTAAAATAAAATTAATTTCATTTAAACCTCTGTTTCTTGAATAAACCTCAGGACAACTCACCTTAAGGGAATCTCCTCCCTATACCCCATCCCTACCTCTGTAACATCCTCCAGCCCCGACACCCCGTCCTTATCTCTGTAACATCCTCCAGCCCCTACACCCCTCCCTATCTCTGAAACCGCCTCCAGCTCCTACACCCCCTCCCTATCTCTGTAACCTCCTCCAGCCCCTACACTCCCTCCCTCCTCCAGCCGCTACACCTCTCCCTATCTCTGCAACCCCCTCCAGCCCCTACACCCCTCCCTATCTCTGTAACCTCCTCCAACCTCTACACCCCCTCCCTATCTCTGTAACCTCCTCCAGCCCCTACACACCCTCCCTATCTCTGTAACCTCCTCCAGCCCCTACACACCCTCCCTATCTCTGTAACCTCCTCCAGCCCCTACA